AGTTTGCCGTACGCGTAAAATTTGCCGGCAAAATTATTTATACAATATTTTGTCAATTGAATATTTATTATCATAAATTATTTCAAACACAAAGTTTTCATAGCGTTTTATAATACATTCGAAATTTAGAACAACAATTGTACCACTGTGCCAGAAATTAAGAACGCCACACAATGCCACCGGCCACACCATCGACACACACTGACAACACTTACACCGTTATATATGCTTTACGCCATTTACGCCACAACAACATTTTATACCAAACATTTGATTTAGTATTACTCCAAATTTGACGTAATCCGTAAAACCCTACGCCGAATATATCCGGCATAACAGACGAACTTTCCACTATGGTAGCTGGACTGCAGACTTCGTCAAGGTCAACGATGTCAACGTCGTGCACACTTGATATTTTTCAAAGCAGAACATATCGTGAGGTGTACTTTATAACAATATTTGTTCTTTAAATGAATCTGCCCTCAAATCTTTAATTTTCATTGTTTTTAAAATGCATCTGTATTGGGTCCTACTAAATACTGCCCGGGGACGCCCGGGAGAGCCCGGGGACGCCCTGAAGCGATCGGGAGCGTGTGAGAACGCCCGGGGATATACGAGATAGTATAAATCAGTGCACGATCCTTTTTGAGTCTCTATGAGGCATTATATTAATGAAAAATAATATTAAAAGTGATTTTCAACCAGCCTAGCAACAAGCGGTAAAAGCGCGGTCGCCCACGCAGGAAGTTGTGTGAAACATGAGCTTATATTTATTATAAATGTGAATATTTGCTGTTATTAAATTAAACTAAAGTTAAAATAAAAAATTAAGACTAGTCAGTTTGTTTTGATATATCAACTGCTGAGGACAAGTCAATTGTCGTTTGGCAGCGTTCGAAAAATTTTTGTCATTAAGATTAGGCCAAAAAGAAAACATTAGTCGTTACTAATTAAATTTAATAGCGTCATATAAACTCAAAACCATTCCGCTTAAACAAAAACGCAGTTTTTCAGCCTAAATATTAGTAAAATATAGTGTTTATCTACTCTATTAATGCTTTTTATCTACTCTAGAGTATAGTTTAGGATATTTTTAGTCTTTCATCTTATCTTTTTAGACTTAGTTTGTTTTTGACTTGTCATAGATCTCGGTAATCTTAACGCCGCCAAACGACAATTGACTTGTTCTCAGCAGTTGATATATTATTAAAACAAACTGACCAGTCTTAATTTTTTATTTTAACTTTAACTTTATTTTAACAGCAAATATTTACATCTATAATAAATATAATCTCATGTTTCACACAACTTCCTGCGTGGGCGACCGCGCTTTTACCGCTTGTTGCTAGGCTGGTTGAAAATCACTTTTTTAAAATATTATTTTTCATTAAGGGGTCACGTCCATATTCATATTGCCACGCATAACGTCGAATCGACGTTATGAGTGGGTGGGTGGGTTTATCTAAATTCTCTCGACATTATCTCGATAATCTCGTGGCAAAATGACAATTTTGTGAAAGTTTTGAAGAATGTGACTGCCACGCTGGACGTTATTTAGGGTGGGTGGGTTTGAGTGTTAACACCGATTCGACGTTATGCGTGGCAACATGAATATGGACGTGACCCCTAATATAATGCCTCATAGAGACTCAAAAAGGATCGTGCACTGATTTATACTATCTTGTATATTCCCGGGCGTTCTCACGTGCTTCCGGGCGCTTCAGGGCGTCCCCGGGCACTTCTGGGCGTCCCCGGGCGCTCCGGGCAGTATTTAGTACGACCGTCTGTATTTGGCTTTTATTATTTAGGGGCGACATCCATACTCACATTGCCACGCAAAACGTCATTTTGACGTTTTCGTTTTGACCCACCCACCCAGTGCTGAAAACGTCAAGTGTATATTGTTATTAAAAATAAAGGGAGACCTCAAAGGTGTTACCAGTGAGTAATAATG